GAGGAGGAGGAGGAGGAGGAGGAGGAGGAGGAGGAAAGGACGGAGCAGGCGCGATAGAGTGGAGTCGAAGCAGTATCTGTAGTGCTGAAACCTCACCTTGTACGGGAGGTTAGCACTCAAGGCTAGGCTTAGCCTTGATATTCAGATAACACGAGCACACACAGCAAGGGAAAGGACAGACCACCTCAGCAGTTGTTGACGATCCTTCTATAAAGGTTCATCTCCGTACCAGTAAAGGAGATACCACCCGTACTTGGCACACTGTCGCCCCACAGGGGTTGTACTCCAGAGGTCCAGTAGCCCTCGTGGCTGTTACCGGTTGCAGACCTAGCTGAAGAGGCTGATCCTGATGATTAAGGCTTGGTGACTCAGGGAAGGACTAGGGGTAGTGCTCCTTGCTGAAGGAAGCAGGGGTGTCCTCTGCTTAGAAGTTGACATGCTTCCCTCCTTGGATGTTGAACCGTGATGCCATCAGCACTTCGAGAGGAAACCTTGCTCGCTCGCAGTAGGGAAGAGAACCCCGTCCTCTTCAGCTTGTAAGCCACCACGGGTGAACGGTTCCTGGTACAAAAACCTCAGAGGGGTCCTTTTCAGCACAAGATTCACACTGAAATAGAGTATCCTGGGTCATCCAGGAGAAGTCAGTTTCGAACACGAGTACGACACAGCCAACTGTCCTTTCTTGTTCAGTAAGCCTTTGTCTGACTCGGGCTCGGTTCCTATTAGCTCTGACAACAAGCTTCTAAGGCTTTGTCGGTAGGTTATCTTGACCTCGAGGAGGTCAGGCTGAGTGGAGCCTGTCAGATGCGAGAAAGCGCAGAGAAGAGCGTGTCAGAGCTCATAGGAACCGAGTCCGAATCAGACAAAGGTTTACTGAAAAGAAAGGACAGTTGGCTGTCTCGGTTTCCTCTCGAAGGGCTGACGGGATATTCAACATCTAAGGAGGAAAGCTTGTCATTTTCCAAGGAGAGAACACCCCTACTTTCTCCAGCCAAGAGACGGGTACTCCAGTCTTCTTCCTCGAAGGTATAAAAGAATCATCCTCGTCAGAACCAGGTGGTCATCTTCCCCTTTCGTGCGTGGGCCACGTCTACTTGTGCCACTCCAGTGTGTGTTGGTTTGTTTGCTTTGTTGTGTGAGAATAAAGAGAGATAGACCTCCTCCTGTCACACTGCTTTCCTCTTAGTAGAGAAATTCCAGGGCAAGTTCTTGGGGTGTGACAGCTGAGTGGAGCTCTCAGACCTGATGATAATTGCAAACAAGCAGGCATGTAAAATTACGGTATATTACAACGTTCATACGACCCAAGCATATGTTCTCGTCCCTGCTCGCAGCATCTTACGTGCCAGCCCTCCCCTTGTTTTGTTTACCAGGAACTTGGTGCAGGCATCGAGGCATCGAGGTTGAGAGTCCTGGGAGCTGAGAGTGCTGAGAGTGCTGAGAGTGCTGAGAGTGCTGAGAGTGCTGAGAAGAGCAGCAGGTCTCGTTCTTGCATGATGATCTCAATTCGTGTCCTTCACAAGAACTTCAACCGAAAGCTGTTCATCAACACATTTCAACTCCTGGCTTCATCGTTGACAAATCCTTGCATCCTCCCATTTTTGCAACCAGCGCGAAATTAGGTAACTTCTGTTCAGGTATTCCCACTGATATACAAATTTCCAGGCACAAAGATCCTCATTGATCATGTCAACATGTTATGAATAATCGAAATAAGGCGATCGACCCACTTACACAAGAATATGTTTTTCTGTTGTACGAGGTGGTGGGCAGAAGGTTGTTTCTGATGCACAAGGTGAGTGGGTTGTTTCTGAGGTGGGAGGCGGGCAGGACGCTTCTTCATCTGGGACGGTCTCGGAACCTTGAAAGTTTCTCCAAAGGAAGGTTGCAGGAGTTTTTGTACTCTCCTGGAACTTCGGGCCTCGGCCTCGGGGGACGGATTAGGACAAGGTTGCGACTGATCGTCGTCCATGACGTTGAGCATCATGTCAAGGAGAATATTCAAGAACAAGGAGAAGTAAGTCCACACGAACCCCAAGCATTCCCGAGGGCGAAAGCTGCTCATTGGTGGCTGAAGAAGAAAGGAGGACAGGGAGGCAAAGAGAATGGAGGGTGAGAGGAAGTGCGAAGGAAAGAGAGAGAGAGGAAGGAAGGGGGTGAAGGAAAGAGGAAGGAGGAAGGAGGAAGGAGGAAGGAAGGAGGAAGGAGGAAGGAGGGAGGAGGGAGGAGGGAGGAGGGAGGAGGGAGGAGGGAGGAAGGAGGAGGGAGGAGGAAGGAGGAAGGAGGAAGGAGGAAGGAGGAAGGAGGAAGGAAGCGATTGAGCGAGCGAGGGAAGAGGAAGGTGGTGGGAAGGAGGGAGAGGAGGAACAAGAGGGGGTTACTAGTTGGGCAAGGGGGCGTCGTAATTGAGTTGGCAGACTAATCTAGTCCTGTGGTGGGGTGGTGGCAGTATTAGGTAGGGGTGGTGGGATCGACTCCGACTGTGTGAAGACAGTCAAACCCGTTTCTGGACTTGGGGAGAACTGTGGAAATGTTTCAAATCCTTGCATTTGATTTGAAGTTACTAGGTTATTTTTTCGGAGCTCCGAGCATTCAATTGACCCTGGCCTCTTGATCAGTTCCGAAATACTGCTGTGCCGTTAACTTCAGTCAACTCGACCGGATCGGACCGGGATGGTCCGTGTATCTCGGAGATATTACTAGTCTATTTTTTAACTTAACTCTAGTACTGCCATATTACTACTACTACTCTAGTGCTGCCATAGCCGGAAGCCTCCTCGACTCTCCTGATTGTCCTCGTACTGATTTTTAACTTAACTTTGAGTAAAGACTTTAGCCGGAAGCCTCCGATCCAGTTGATTGTTCCACTCCGACTCGGCCGCGGCCGTGTGGGGGGCCTCAGGCTCAGCTCTTGACTCAAACAACACTGAGCAGTGGAAGGCTTCGCAACTGATCCGATCAGAACGCCGGGACGGTGCCACCGTCACTGTCGGCACAGTCGACGCACTGCGGCACACAACTTGGCAAAGACCCAGAGTCTGGGTATATATACATCGGATATTCCTGACCATTCACCGTGACTGGCACTGCGGCAGCCCCTTCAAGTGAACTTCGGAACGGGCCCCGGTCTGGCACCCCGGTATCAAACCTCACCCTGCCGACCGTACTGTACGGTCGACTCGGCTGCTGTCCCCCCGCCCCAAACGGAAGTGGAAAGGTTTACTTCCGGGGGAGGGGCAAGTTCAACAGTGATACCGATACATTCACTCCGACTCAGTCCGGGCCCGGGCCGGGCACCCGGCTACTAATACTGACTACGGACCGTACGGCACGGTATCAGTGATTCCCGGGCTTCACGCCAATGAGTACCGTACGGCCCTGCCAGGCCGAGTTCAGATCACCATGGCACTGCCCGGCGGCCAGTGCGACTGACTCCGAGGCTGTGACGGTCCGACGGCGCCCACCGCCCTTCAGAAGCAGCCCCTGGCATCTCAGCAGCACTGATCGGACAGTGAGCGGAACTTCCGATTTCGGAGCTGGCAGCCTGAACTTCGGAATGCCTGAGAGAGTCACCGCCGCCGTCTGAGCCTGCAAGTTGTAGCGGGTTCACTGTCAAGATTCTCACGATAACGTATCACGATGCTTTGCCGTTGAGAGAAAGAATAGACTGAAAACGATGTTGCCTTTCTAGGCAGCATCAAGCATCAGCGGCTGAAGCAGCCCGCCGCCGCCGCCGCCGCCGTTCCCGTTGGCATGTACAATAATTGGAGTTCCTGGCCCAACAGTCCGTCACTTATAGTCTGAGGAACAGAAATGACGAAGGTGGGGTCAGGAGAGGAGAAGAGCAGGTACCGTGTATTCCCCCGTTTCGCTTCTGCACTGGACGCCACATGAGATAGGCTGTGTTCAAGTCTGGTTCAGCACCTCCAATAATCCAACAAACGCACGGGAAAAGCTCACCGAGTAGGGCGACGTAAAGGGCAGCGATGATGACAACGACGACAAACTGTTCGATGAAAGGGCCGTTAGTGTGAGTAACGAGGGGCAGACCAGTCAAGTCCAGCCCTCACCTTCCAAGAGCCGTAGCCGTCTTGCTGCAGCATGGGGTCGATCACTGTATTCCAGGTGAGCGATGAATTCGCTGCTATCACCATCAGCGCCAGCATCCAAGAAACGCCCGACAGCATCCTGCTGTTGCGATGGTCGCCCATGCTCTCCCTGCTATCCGTGAACTTAAGGAGCGGGATAAGAGCCAGGGGCAGGTGGAGGGCGAGCACGATGGAGGCGATGACGCAAAGATCGTTTGCTCCACGTGGACCAGCAATGATCGAGACACAGAGGGAGGGGACAATGGCTATCCCTCTCGAGATCAGGTTTCGCAGCCACAAGGGCAGGCTCATCTCAACGAACCCCTCCATCACGAACTGCCCTGCATACGTGCCGGTGATGGTGGAGCTCTGGCCCGACGCCAAGAGCGCCACTGCCCAGAACATGCCTGCTTGCTCCCCAACGGTAGTCTGGAGAAGCTTTCCGGCAGTTTCAAGGCCGACGGGAAAGCACTTGTCGAGGTTGCTGGTCTCTTTACATTCGGGCGTGTTGACCTCGCAGACCTCTTGCACAGGAGAGCACCAGTACGGCGCAAAGCTCGAAGCTGCCACCAACAAGACGCTCCAGTTGACCAGGAAGCTGACACCGAGCGCGAACGCGGTCTCTATGGTGGTGTAGATGCAAGCAAACCTGATGGAGGTCTTCTCGCGCTTGGTCTTCCTCGCCAGGACGAGGGCGGACTGCAAGAAGAGGTTGTGCGGCATCGCGACTGCCCCAAGGAGGCCAACAGCGATCATCTCTGACCCAGCAGGAAGGTTGGGCACTGCTGCTCCAACCACAGACGACCATCCGTCAGGAGGGCTGAGGAAGCACTCAGCCATGAAGCAGAAGGACATGATGCCGACGAGCCCCCCAACGAACGCGGTGAGGTAGGAGAGCCCCAAGTAGGAGAGGGTGAGGAAGACGAGAGTGCTCGCTGCACACGTCAGAACCCCTCCCCACAACGGGATCATGCCCTTGGAAAGCAGCTGAATGGCGAAGGCGGTTCCTATCACCTCAGGGACGTCGCTGGCCACGATCATCAGCTCGCTTAGGACCCAGAGCACGTAGCGAATGAAGGGAGGGTACTCGTATCGGCAGAGCTGTGCTAGGTGGCGGTGCGTGACGATGCCGAGGCGGAGGGAAAGGACCTGAATGATGAGACCCAAGACTGATGACCACAGCAGCACCCAAGACAGGCTGTATCCGAACTGAGCGCCAGCTTGTAGGTCTGTCTCTAAGTTTCCTGGATCCAAGTATGCAATGCTTATGAGCCATGCTGGTCCTGTGAACCTGTCATCTTCTTCGTTATGACCTGTTGACATTGCGAGCCACCAACATACCTCCAAAGCTCTCTGAAGGAGAACCCGTTGGCTCCGAAGCTCTCGTCCTCCTCGTCACCTTCGCCATGTTTTCCTCGAGGTGGTTCTATATCTGTTACCCTCCTCTCTCCCTCTCTCGCCTCCTCTCTCGCCTCCTCCTCTCCCCCTTCCATCAGCCTCGCCCCATCCACCATTCCCTACAAAATCGAACCAAATCCGCCTCCACCCCCCCCTTTGCGTACCACTTGGACCCTACCCCCACCTCACCCGAACCATGTCTCCCCTACAGGCATATGAAAAGTACCCGCACAAAGACCGTTATGTGCCCATGGGTGGGTGGTGATGTTTCGTATTGGGGTGGGGTTTCAGTCACGTAGGGTGATGAAGGGAACGGACTCGGCCCGCCTCGATTCCGACGAAACTATGAGCGAGCGAAGGAGGGGGGAAGGGAGTAGGGAGAAGAGAGATGAATGTACGGGAAAGTAGATGGAACATGTACATTGACATATTCATCTGATGATGCTCTAGATTATATATGTACATTGACATATTCATCTGATGATGCTCTAAATTATATATGTACATTGACATATTCATCTGATGATGCTCTAGATTATATCTTCTTTGGACCTCACCTCGCCTCGTCCACACTTGTTGATCCTTCAGCTTGATTGCTGAAACTCATCTAGAACATGAGCAGCAATTCACAAGGGCCTTCATACCTGGTCTTTTGAGTAGTTGAAGGGGAGCTGACACATAGTTGTGCTACTGCGTATGTCGTACACTAGCGCTCGTCCTCTCTACGAGCATGCAGACTTGATGCAATAAGACTAATTGAGATTTTTCTGCTTCCCTCCGACAACCTTTGCAGCACGAGACTGGCGACGAGCATGCGCAGGCTGCTTCAAATGGCCGCCAATGCGTAAAGTCGTGGAATATTGTCGGTCCAGGGCTGGGCTGCGTTCCACCTGTACGATGACTGACAAGCTGGAACGGCGAGCGGAACCGACGTGATGTGGCGACGCATATCAGAGGCGACGAGAAACTGTCGATGCTCCATCATTCTGCCATGTTGTGGCGACGCATATCAGAGGCGACAAGAAACTCTCGATGCTCCATCATTCTGCCATGATGTGGCGACGCATATCAGAGGCGACAAGAAACTCTCGATGCTCCATCATTCTGCCATGATGTGGCGACGCATATCAGAGGCGACGAGAAACTCTCGATGCTCCATCATTCTGCCATGATGTGGCGACGCATATCAGAGGCGACGAGAAACTCTCGATGCTCCATCATTCTGCCATGTTGTCAACCCCTGGGTCTAACCAGACCTATCCTCTCACCCCCTTCATTCTTGACAACCGGGTAGCCATGGGTGATACCATTCTCCTTCACGTGCTTGATCTGCAGCTGACGGGTGAAAAGAGAAACGAGGAGGGAGGAGGGAGGAGGGAGCAGGGAGCAGGGAGCAGGGAGCAGGGAGCAGGGAGCAGGGAGCAGGGAGCAGGGAGCAGGGAGCAGGGAGCAGGGAGTGAAACCTGCTCACGGCACATCTTGACTTTGAACAAAGCTGCTCTTAGATCTTCCCTGTCGATGCTGGGATCCACTTTCTGAAGGTAGCAAGGTAGTCAAGGTGGCTGCTGGTACCGCGAACGATGGCAGAGAGAAGATCTCTGCCTGCCCACCTTGAGCTCTTTCAAGTAGGCCGGCATGCTCTCGTCCAGCTCGCTGTCCGTCGTGTTCCACGGGATCACGAGGGACTCGAACGCTGCACGTCGGCTACACACGATCACGAGCGATCTCAAGAGAAGGCATGCGGCATGCGGGGATTCCTCACAGTCGTCTACGCGCGATGATCTCCTGGACGCCTTCTCTCTCGATGTCTCCCCTGCTCACGCATCACTTGCTGAAAGCAGACGCTGCTTGCCTCGGGGCCACCTGTATTTCCATGCAGGGGATACTCCGTAAAACCTTTGGTCGTCTTCGATGTTGTTTCTCTCTCCATCAGCATCTCTCCCTGCTCGACTGCCTCGCTTCATGCTTACAACGCGGCTCAGTCAAGGCAAGCACAAGAACGATTCTGCTTCTTCCCCTCCAGCTCACCAGGGTAGGTGCAGGACGAAGTCTTCCTCCTCCTCTCTGGAATCTGACATGTAGTTTTCGTGATAGAACTCAGTCGGGACGAGGGAAAAGGCAGGCTGAGATCGCTTCATGTCAATGTAGCTCTTGTTCCCTTCCTTGTCCCCCGTCTCATCTTCTCCTCCTCTGATGCGCATGAGAGAAGGAACGGAATGGGTCCTCGAGCATGCAGCACCATCATGTGCACATGCCATGAGCGATGACATGATGTTGCAGTGGCATGAAGCTAGAGGAGAAGATGAGAAAACACGGGTTCGCTGAGTTTTTGCGGAGAACTCAGGAGCTGGAGGGGGAAAGAATGGCGAGGAGGAGAGGGAGGAGGAGGCGCAGAACGACAGAGATGATGAGGAGGAGGACGAAGAGGAGGAGAAGTCTGATGAAGTTAGAGTCATGGAGCAGAGGAGGAGGAGGAGGAGGAGGGTCGGGACCATGAAACAGCGATTGGACATGCGCCCACTGCGCCCGCCCGGTCTAAAGCATGTATGAGCGGGGATGTGGTCATAGCGGCCGGCGGCCATGGCGTTACGTTGTCCGACGACGACGATGATGATGACGACGATGATGACGATGATGACGATCAGTACATGCTCTGCATTTTTACTCCCTTCTTCACCCAGCAGCTTCGTTCAGCTCGCTTCCTCTTCCTCCTCCAGGGTCTGTCCAGCCTTCCTGCGCAAGGGATCTGGCCCGGGTCTCGTAGTCCCGAGCGTTGGAAAGTGGAAGGGAAGAGGAGGAGCCAGCAGTCTCCGAGCATCAGGGAAGAAGCAGGAGAGCGCGATCGACGATGTCTCCGTCATCCTCCTCGCAGGAGGCGTGGGGTCACGAATGAAGGCCGACAGACCGAAACAGTTCCTGGAGCTCGAAGGAAAGCCGATCCTCCGACACAGCCTCGAGCTTTTCATGAAGATCCAGGGGGTGACAAGGATTGTGATCGTAAGAGGAGGAGGAGGAGGGGGAGGAGGAGGGGGAGGAGGAAGGGAAACGGGTGAGGGGAGAGAAGCGGGAGGGTCCTGAGCTCCCTACGTACTCTCAGGTCATTGCGCCTGAGTACAGAGATTCTCTTGCTGATGTAACGAAGAAAGATGCCAGTGAGCTCTCCTTTGCTCTTCCTCCTATCACCCCCTTCTACTCTCCCTCCTCTCCCTCCTCTCCCTCCTCTCCCTCCTCTCCCTCCTCTCCCTCCCCCTTCCCGTTTGTTTCCCTCACCTCCCTCCTCCCAGGGATCTGCTTTGCGGAGCCAGGAAAGGAGCGCCAGGACTCTGTGTTCAACGGGCTTCAGGAGACGGCGCTGGACACGTCTCTGATCTGCATTCATGACGCTGCCAGACCGCTGGTGACCGAGCAGGAGATTCTTTCATGTATGAACGATGCGCTCGAGCACGGCGCTGCTGTCCTCGCAGTTCCCATGAAGGCTACGGTCAGAAATGATCCTGCTGCTCCTGCTCTCCTGCTCTCCTGCTCTCCTGCTCCCTGCTCCTGCTTCCTGCTCCTGCTCCCTACTGATGCTCATGATCCCTGTTTCTTGCCCTTGCTCCCGCTTAAGCTCCTCCTCATTCTCTTCCTGCTACTCCTTGCTCTGCTCCTGTTACAGCTCTATCTTTGACCTCCTTGTCACCTGCCTCAATCCCCTGCTTGCCTGCTTCTTGTCTCTTGTCCAGCTGATTCTCAGCTGACTTGGTGGGTCTGAAGGTGAAGGAGAGTGAGGATGGGAAGTTTGTGTTGCGAACGATCGAGAGGTCGAGGCTGTGGGAGATCCACACGCCACAGGTGAGGGAGAAGGAGCAAGTGAGAGGAGGGCGAGGTTTGGGAAGGCAGAGGAAGGGAGAGAGTCGAAGATTGGTGGAGGTAGAGGACGGGGACGGGGACATGGACGAGGACAAGGGAGGGAGGAGGACGAGGATAAAGACAAGCGGGGGAGGACAAGGACGAGGTCTGGTCAAGACGATTGTGCAGATTATAAGACCTGCTCTTCTCCGCGAAGGATTCAAGAAAGTGAAGGAGCTCAACCTTGCCGTGACGGATGATGTCTCCATCATAGAGCAGCTTCCTGCTCCTGTCAAGATCACTGTGAGCTCCTGCTCCTGCTCCCTGCTTCTCCTTCTCCTTCTCCCTGCTCCTACTACTCCTACTCCTACTCCTGCTCCTGCTCCTGCTCCCTGCTTCTCCTTCTCCTTCTCCCTGCTCCTACTGCTCCTACTCCTGCTCCTACTCCTACTCCTGCTCCTGCTCCTCTGTCCCTCCTGCAACACAGTTGACTACTATGATGATTCCTGGTTGATGCCTCAGGTTGGCGAGTACACCAACATCAAGATCACAACTCCAGAAGACATGCCCATGGCACGCTCGATCTTGTGAGGAGGAGGAGAAGGATGGGGTTGGAGGGTTGGGGGGAGGAGGAGGAGGAGAAGGAGATAGTGGGGAGGTAGCGGTTATGGTGCACGGGGTGGGGGAACACGGAGGAGTGGAAGAACTGATGATGTATGCAGAGAACAGCGTCGTACGATGAAAGCGGCATGAGGGAGAAGAGTTAATTCTTCAAGTAAGAAGTGCCGCCGTCTTGTCTCCTCCTCCCTCCTCCTCCTCCTCCTCCTCGAGAAGAAAAAACTTCTACTGGGGAAAATCTTCTCCTAAGCAGCTCTTGCAAACACTTTCCTCGCTGCTTCGCCGATCGCTGCCGCGCACTTCTCGATATCCTCCCGAGTCTGAGCAGAATTGATCTGAAGGTGCAATGAGGAGAAGAAATAAAGGAGGAGGAGGAGGAGGAGGGCTGAGAGCGAAGAGAGAGGAACATAGAAGAGCACGAGGTGGATCGATCATGAAAGACGAAGAGGACAGCAGAGGAGAGGAGGAAGCAAGATAGCAGTGACAGAGAACAAGGCTGAGCTCAGGGAGCCCGAGGGAGAGGAAGAGGATGGAGGAAGCGAGGGAGAAGAGGGAGGAGGGGAGGGGAGGGGCGGGAGCACCGTGATCCTGATAGAGGGACGAGGAGCAATCTTTTGAAGAGGAGAATAGTCGGCGACGACAAGCGAGACGTTGAACTCGTCGAGAACGACGTCACAGATCTGATACGAAGTCATGCGAGGAGAGAGCGAGGAAGGGAGGTCGCTGCGATGAAAGGCAGGGAAATGTGAAGGAGAGGAGAAGAGGATCAAATAGAAGGTGAGAATAGGAAGGGATAGTAGTTGTGGTAGAGGAAGCAAGGAGCAGGGAGCAAGTAAAGAAGAGGAGAAGCGAGTAGGACCTTCTGCAGAGTTTCATCGTCAGCCTGTCTTGTTCCTGATTCATCAAGTCAGAACAAACGGGATGTGGAGGAGGAGGTTGAAGAGACTTGGCGACGTTTGCGATAAGAGGAACGACCAGGGGTACAGAGGAGGAGGGGCAGAATAACAAGGAGGGGCATTGCGAAATCTCAAGGGAGGAAGGAGGGAGAGCAACAAGGGAGGAGGGAAGGGGAGGAAATGTGAGGAAAGGAGTTGGAAGAGAGCAACCGAAGGTGCAAGAGGGGAATGTTCTCTACCTTTTCCCTGCTGAAGATGCAGATGCTTGACTGGAGAAATTTCATCGCCCATGAGCCACAGGGTATCGCAGGCGTTCTGTTCAACAGTAACATGAGTGGGAGAATGAAGAGAAAGAAGAGAGGGGAGGGAGGAGAAAAAATTCCTTGGAAGAGCAAGAGCAAGAGCAAGAGCAAGAGCAATACAAGGAACAAGGGAAGGGGCAGTGGAAGCGAAAGGACAAAACTAGAAGGAGAGGACGTCACCTTATCCAAGTTGAGGGTCATGTCTCTGAGGACTTCATGAGCCAAGGTTGAGTTTTCGCGCAGTTTTGAGATTCTCTCCTTGTCTTGCCGGATGATCTGAGGGGTCGGAAGAAAGCGGACAGTCAGGCAAGCAGCACAAGACAGGAGGAACAGGCATCATCGATATGCTAAGTGATGTTGATTGAGGGGCAGGAGAGGAAGATTCAGAGCGTGAGAGGGAGATAGAAGGGGAGGAAAGAAGGAAATAGAAGAGTGGGGAGGAGTGACGGGGAGAAGGATGAAGAGGATGAGGGGAAGAACTATGAGGAAGAAGAGAAGAAGGATGCTGCAAATCGTGCTCGCTCAATTGCTTTCAACATCCACAGAGCACTTGCGCTCTCTTACGTCCCCTCGTCACTTGACAAGACCCACCCGCAGTGCTGCAATGGCTGCCGTCGCGTTGAATGGAGGAAGAGACGCGGAGAACACGTAGCCAGTGCTGGACAGTCTCTGCCGTGCCATGAATCATGCAGGGACAGCAGCGAAAGGGACGAGGGAGGAAGGAGCATGTAGAGGAGGGAGGGAGGGGGGACACGGGGATCCTCCCACACCTGATGTGCAATGATCGGCCCATCTGCCACGGCGAAGCCTCCAATGGAGGCCAGAGAGTTTGACATGGAGCCGCAACGGATGGTTATCTGCGGGGAGGAGGGTGAGGTGGAGAAGAGAGGGCAATGAATCTGGTCTACATCCGATGCTGGGATGCCCCAGTGCTCCAGCGATCCTTTGCCGGTCTCTGCACGCAGAAGGTCAACCATCCTCAGGTCACCTCTATGCCCCTCACCTCCCAACGTTCCCAACGCCATCGACTCGTCCAGGAGCACACGGAACTGCAGGGCGCGATCAGCCACGGCGACATGGGCGGAGGGCCGCACACCTTATACTGCTTCGCTAGCTCCACCACCTCTTGCAGCGGGCAGATCATTCCTGTGTTCTGATCCATGGAGTGAGTGATGGAGAGAGAGGCAACGGCAGCGGTCGCGGGTGGACCTGATATAATCCTTCCACCACGATGAACCTGCGATTCAATGGCTTCTGGTTCTTCGCGTCAGCTTGCTTGACAATCTCTAGGATGCTCTCCTGCAAGGCCAGCGTCAGAACCTGAGAACAGACACTGACGAAAGGTAGAGAGGAAGGAAGGTAGAGAGCCATGTAGGCACAAGTTTCAACATCCACAGATGTGAGATAGACGGCAACATCAAACAGCTTGATGAGCTCACCAGGTCCGCCATGTCGTTGTGGCGAAACTCCTTCACGTAGGCTCGTGACAAGTCGATACCCGCCTGCAGAGAGTACGAGATGGCTTCGTCTCGAATGACCAAGTCCCCTCGCTTGAGGAATGCTGGGATAATCGACGAGGCTGTTGCAGCATCATACGAATAGATGATCCCTCCCTCCGCCCCGTAGAAGTCAGCCAGCTCCCTCTCCAGGTCCAGGTGCACATCAATGGTGCCGTAGAAGCCACGGGGACCGCAGGAGCCAACTCCATACTTCCTGATCGTCTGCTCGCATTCGTCCTTGATCGACTCTTCGTTCAGCATGTTGAGGAAGTCGAAGGAGGCGAAGTTGATGGACTCCTTGCCGTTGATGATGACGCGGCAGCCCTGGTGGGAGGTAACAACCCTCTCCGACCTCTTCACCACGCTCTCCATGGCCTCCTTGGTAACGAGGGGATCAGGGGTCCACTGCTCGCAAAGTTCATCTATCTCCCCCTCCGTGAGGCCCTCGGTTCCTTGCAGCGGCTTGTATCTCTTCTGAAAGAGCAGGTAACCAATCACGATCACCAGCACTGCTTCCACAAAGAAATGCACATCAATCCTGCTGAGCAGCGCCAATACAAGCTGCTCCACTGTTGGGTCCAGGAGGAACCCAAGTTCTGCTGTGCCGACCGAAGCCTTGGATGTTTCTGCCATGATGTTCAGCTCTATCGAGAGATCAGCGGCCGATATTTCAGTTCAATCCTCTTCGGGAGATAGAAGACTCTTAGATTGTGAACGAAATCTGAAAAAACAAGTCAAAAGCCAGCTCCAACAAATCACATTGAAAGTTGGCAAATGACTAAGAACAGAAGCAGAGGAAGGGATCGGAGAGGAAAGGAGGGTATAGGCGACAACGACGAAGAGGAAGACGAAGGGCTGAAGCAGGAGCAGGAGCAGGAAGCAAGATCAGGAGCAGGAGCAGGAGCAGGAAGCAGGAAGCAGGAAGCAAGAGCATCAACAGGAAGCAGGAGCAGAAAAGCGAGAGCAGGAAGCAGGAGCAGGAAGCAGGAGCGGGAAGCAGGAGCAGGAGCAGGAGCAGGAGCAGGAGCAGGAGCAGGAGGTTCTTGGCGGGGAGGAGGAGGGAGGAGATCATTTTCGTGTTGTCCTGGAGTCCCCCAAAGCGCATGAGGAGCGCGGGAAAAGAGCTCCAGTGCTGACAAACACAAAAATCAAAACAAATTGACATTAAACTACAAAAAGATGTACCATAAAACTGAATTTATCATAAAATTGGCAACAAAATGTGAATATTTTATAAATCTACTATAAATTTTGTTCAGACCTACAGCAGACATAAGCCGAGATGAGACTAGAAAAAATCCCGAGGCAGCAGAATCCGAGTACCGAGAGGGCAGGCGAACATGACTAGAGATGCGGGAGGGTAGGGAGGACGAGGTCGAGGACGAGGACGAGGTCGAGGACGAGGACGAGGACGAGGACGAGGACGAGGACGAGGACGAGGTCGAGGTCGAGGTCGAGGTCGAGGTCGAGGGAGGGGAAAGGAGCTAAAATAGGTTGAGAAGTTTTGATCCTTTGATTCACACAGGTACCAAGGTCAACGACGAGAGTCCGATGAGAAACTTAGGGGGAAGCATCCACATGCTCGAGAGGTGTACGAGCCTTGTCACGCAGCGAGCGAGATGCATCGGAAGGAGACAATGGAGAGGTTACCATGACAGCGTTGGGAGCCTGCAGAAACCAAGAGTCTTGTTTGAAGCCGGTGAGATGAAGGGAGATGAATCGAATGTTTGCTGCTGCTGAATCTGATTGCCATGCTGATGACGCTTATGGTTCAGCTGATTGGATGGTCGTCGACAAACCCAGCATGTGGCACAGTACGAGGAAAGTCAGAGCAGGGGCAGAGGTAGGGGCAGCAGATGCCTCAGAAGGCGAATCGAGGAACTTAGAAGACTGGCTTCAAGAACATTATCCGGTGAGGGGGGGGAGGGAGGCGGTTTGCAACCGCAAGGTTGTCATTCATCAGCCAAGGATCTCAAAAACGTCAGGGACGGTGGGCTAGCAAACAGGCTCGACCTCGTCACCTCCGGGTACCTTCCGTGCGCCAATAGCTGCTCCTGCTTACCTTGGGCCCCCTGCTGCAGCTGTGTTGTTGTAGCCAAGACACAGGAGGCAGTAGAAGAAATGTTGGCTCGCGTCCAGTCCGGGAGGATCTTCAAGACTTACTGGGCCATCCTTGAGGGAGAGGTACAGACGAAAAGCTTCTCCTCCTCTCCCTCCTCCTCTCCTCGTCTCACTGTCTGTTGTCTTGATCTCTTTCCTCTCGCCTTCTCCTTTCTCTCCCTTCCCCATTTGCTCACATTTGAAGGTTTTCTTGTGCTCAGGTCGAAGCAGATGGATCCTTCGAGCTTCACTTCTACAGCCGCTACAACCGATCCAAAAAGATCTCAGTGACGGAAAAAAGAGGTTGTATCTCTGACTCTTCTACTCTCTTTCTCTCACTCACGTCCACCACTCCGACTTTCAATCTCAGAATCTTATTCCCTGCCTCTGCTCTTGTTCTGCCTCCCCCTCTCTCACCTCCTCCCTCCCCTTCATCCTTCTCCAACCTCCTGCTCTTGTAGCGCTCTTCCTCTCTCTCCCTGCTCCTCCTCTTCTGCGCGTGCAGCTTCGAGGCTTACAAGTCTCCCAGGGCCTCGTGGAAAGCTGGGGAGATGTAGCTGGAAGAGACTGCAGACATTATCTGCTCCCTCCTTCCTAGCATACACCCGAGCGCCTGTCCTTAGTGCTGTGGAAGTCGATCTAGTAGGAGGAGGTCAGCGGCATCAGATCCGTGCCGGTTTTGCCTTCCTTGGACATCCGTATGCTTGTTCTTCCCGGCTCACCGAGCCACCCTGTCTTCCCTTGTGCTCCTGCCCTCCTCGTTCCCTGCCCTCCCTCCTCCATCTCAGTCTCTTCCTCGATGCTCTTTGTCTTGTTCTCTGCTGCTCCCTCTCCTCCTCTTTGCTACTCCCTCCTTTCCTTTCTGATATCCCTTCTCCTCGTCCCCGTTGGGTCCCCTCCTTCCTCATTGGCTTGCAGCATCGTTGGGGATACTCTCTATGGAGGACTTGAGTGGAGCCAGGAAGGAATCGCCTTGTACTGCAAGCATGAGATGCGATGATAAAGATTTGACGGTTTCTTCAGACACTCCAAGCGCGTGTCTGTGGAGGGCGTTGAGGTTTGCTCCCCTTGTTTAACCCGCGTAATGAAACTTGTCCTTCAGCTTTCTTCGCCAACTCCTGCTCGCATGGAATGGGCATTCAGAGCCTTCTAGCAGCTCGTCGGTAGCTTTTATTGAAAGCAAAAGCATAATAAAGGATCTTAGAGCAATTAACTAGGCAAACGAATTCAACACAACACTGTCGGTTATCAGCCTGTTCAAACTGGAATCTGTTCCATTATTCATCGTCGTACAGTGGAGCCTGTAGAGGTCCCAACATATCAAATTTACAACGTTCGGGTAAATTCATCTCAGTCCCGTTATGAGGATAGCAACTCTGGTAGCCGTGCTTGATTCAGATCTTGATGGAAATCTTGATTCAAATCTTGATGGAAATCGTGAAAAAGTTTCTGTTTCTCTTCGGCATCGTCACTGACGTCCTTGTTCTCATTCAACTCACTGGAGTCACTAGAATCTCCATCTTCAATATCCTCTAATGAGAAGTTGGAGACTTCAAAGCGTGTCAGGTTCAACATCTCGACATCCCGTACAGCTATAGCAGCGTTCTCGCTCCCTTCTTGCACATGCTTTGTGTCTGATGACTTGCGAAAGGATTCACTTGACATCGCATGGCTGGCGATCGAGATCCTCCTGCTATTCGCTCTTAGATCTGGCCTACCAACTACCAAGACTGGACAGTGGCAGTATTTCACGGCGTATGATGAGACAGACCGTCCCAGAGCCCTCTTCAACCAGCTCATCCCCCGTGAACCAACGACAGCCAGGTTGACCATATGAATCTCGGCCCATGCAACAAACTGTTTTGCCGGATCGCCCTCAGCCTCCACCTTGACGCACTTGAGCCCTCTGGCCTGACACCACTGCTCGAATGTGTGAAGCACTCCACCGCTGTCATGGCAGTAGGTCGGGAGCAGCGGAGCAGCACAACCTGACGAAGACTTGTTGCATTTCACGTGTATCAAGATAATTTCATCTCCCTTACGGAAGATGTTATCCACTGCCCACTGGAAAGCATAGAAACATTCGTCCGACGCGTGCACACCCACAGCAATCTTCCTGCAGACACCCCCGGGGTTAGAAGAACAACGGGAGAATGTTGAGCTGCAATCACTTGCTGTCAAACACTCTGCGCAGGTCCTCAGGTTGCTATCACAGTAGTCGATGCGCCCGCAGCACATGCAAGTCGTCTTGACGAGGGGCTCGTTTGAACCCCAGTTTCTCAGAACCATCACTGGAATGTTCACATCGCTGCAGTCCTGGACAGCAGAGATCTTGGTGATCGAACGAGCTAGGCGCCGAAGAGACCTTCCCATTGAGCAGATTGCCAGTGAGAAATCCCCCCGTCGCAATTCATCGACAAGCTCTTCCATTGACTTAGTCTCTTCTAGTGCGCGTGCACTGGAGATTCGTCCAAACAACTTCTTGTAAAGATCAAGTTGCAAAGTTCCTGGGTTGTGGACATTGCGGCTTCGACTTCCTCGTGCATACTCCCACCACCCTGAAAGCGAGAAGTCGCAGGCAGCCCTAGAGTGCATAATGCACACTTCGTCGCTCTGCTGCAGTACGTTGTCCCTCGCCCATGAAAGTTCGTGTATCCTTCCCGCTCGCAAATCATTGTCTCCATTGCAATCTAGACATATGGCAACTTTCCTGTTACTCTTAGTCTGGAGTTTGGGATCGGATACGAAATCCTCTGTCGGCGCAACTTCCATTGCGACTTCAGTATGATCTCCAAGTCCGGAGCTGTTGAAACAATCTGATGCCTGCCGCTCAATGGAAGTTATTTACACTTCACCTCCGATGCGAGCCACCAGGTACAGGACGAGTATACCAAAGAACAAGTCCCTGTACGCGTCTGACCAAGTTATGACCTCCAGGCAGATATTTTTCCAAGAGCCCCCTCCCCTCTGTCTGTCTACTTTGGCTCTGTCTAGTATTCAGTCTCAAGTTTCTTCACGTTCTACTATGTTCCTTCCCTTCACTCTCTGTCCTCGTCCCTCCTCACTCCTTTCCCTCCTCCTCTGCTCCATCCCTGTAGCGTGGCATCATTGCAGCCTAGAATCAGAGGGGGCTACGGAATCGGGGGTCCACATAGTACCCGTATGCTGGGTGGGTACCAGAGCTCGAAATTGAGGGGTACTTTTCCAAGAACATGCTTCATTACCCGTACTTTGATTTATCAAAAGGTGGGTACTTTTAATTTCATAGGGGTGGGGTACCTGCAGGGGTGACGAAACAGGGGTGAAATGGTACCCAAATTCCACCAAATTGAGAGAATGACGGGGGTTGTTCTGGGGCCACTTCGATCGAATGTCAAGTCGAGGGTAGGGGTAGTGGATGAGCACCTCGTTACCGGTGGTTAAGAGATCAATTATTGGGGTATAATGGAATGACTGACATGATTGGTAGGGTTATGTAGTTAGCACCCCGTAAGTTTATAATTAAGTTTTTATAAAGACAACGAAGGGGTGGGGGTGCAAGTTGTTGGTATCGACATGGCACAAGTAGGGGTACAAGTACAGAATTCTGGTACAAAATTAGTTTAATATGTGGGTGGGTGACAGATCAGGGGTCTAGAAGTTCTTTGTGGCGGTACATGATCATTACAATTTTTATAAGTTTAAAATAACTAATTCATCGCTCATAACCTGAATGCTTCTCGAATCTTTTGGGGATAATTTGAAATAAACTGCCGAAAATGTGAAAGGAAACATCAAGTCCTCCGAACTTCGGAAGGCGCGGCTTGCCCTGACTCCCGAGTCGGGCCGGGTCCGGCGCCGGGGCCGGCGCTGCCGCATAGCCGCAAGCCGGCCCGGCTCCCGCCGGCCCGCGGCCGGCACCGTCCAATCACGGCAGTGCCTTGAACGGCATGCGGAGGCTCAGGGCCCGGGCCCAATTCTGATCGGATCCGACCGTACCGTACTGCCTGAGTCCGTCCATCCGGGCCGAGTGAACCGTCTTAAGTTGCGGCCCGGCCCGCCGCCGGGCCGACCCGGTGACTCGCCGAGTACGGTCCGATCTGAGACCGTTTAGAGTCTCCGAGGCTCACTCAGCGGCCCCTATGATGACCCAGGCCGCAAGTTCAAACTTCAACCGTTCACTGACGGGGCTACACTGGGCCTACGTGCCGAGTGAACTGAGAGTCGGAGTCGAATCATCCCGGCCGGGCGGCGAGCCCGGCGGCGGGTGACGAGTCGGTCAATGGGCCCTCGGAGTCCTGGCAACCCGGTTGCAACCGTTGATCATGCCCAGTGCCCCGGCCGCAGGACCCGGGTGCTACCCGGGTACCGTACTGCAGTGACTTTCCCCCGGCGGCAGTTCCGCGTGACTCACTGACTCTCAGACTGTTAAGTCACTCCACTGCCGCGCCGCGGCGGCCGGGCCCCCGGGCCGGCCCCGGCCCGGGCTCACCGTGGCAGCGGCAGGGGCCGCCCGGGGAAGTTCCGCGCGGCCGCGGAGTTCTTGAAGTTCCGGGCCGCCCGGCGGCCGGGAGGCGGATGACAGTGATCATGGCATCATCAGCGGCATTACTTGATCCGATCGGACTCGGCGAGTCGAGAGCTCACGGCGTCACGGCGGGGCCATGGCGGTCATGGTCTTTGAATGACGTACTAGAATCTTCTTTGACCCTCTCAATGGCATGAAAATGCGCGATTTCAGATATTCTCATTTGCGTCCTTTTGGTCTAAGAAGGCAAAACAACCCCACCTCTACAACTGTCAACCCGTACCCCTCATAAGCCTGAAGTTTACCCCACCTTGCAACACTCTTGGATTACCCCCTACCCCCTTCTGGATACTCCCCGTATGACTGCAATCTAGAGGTGTGACTCATTTACGAATCCCGACCGACGCCAACGAGTGAGGTTTGAGATCTTACCGAGGGCGGCAGGGAGGAAGTCGTTTACTAGCCGCCCTTGTTCTTATCAGGACCGGGGTGACCAAAAGGGACGCAGAAGGTTGTGACAGTCCTCGGCTTCTAAAATAGATCAAAGGCTCGTTCTCCCATTCAATCTCATCAAATTTTCGTCACAAGAACAAGACACACAGCGATGAACAATCAAGGTGTACAGAAGGTCAAGGTGTATCCACGGAGAAAAAGACTGCAAGACATGCCAAGGGCTGAGGTCAACCAGCGACAGCAGCATGAGGTAGAGGTTGATCTCGAGGTCCTTCAGAGGCTCTTCGGAATGAAGCAGTCAAGCGCGGCAAGATCTTTGGTATGCAATCGGCTGCAGAGCTCTTTGCAGAAGAATCTGACTGGTCCTGTCTACACAGGGTATCTCGTTGACATGCTTCAAAGGAGTATGCAGAAGACTGGGGCTCAAGAAATGGCCTTACGAAAAGCCGAACCAAGCATCGGGGGGAAGCAATCAGATCCAAGAGACGGAGAGCAGCGATCCTGATTCCGCAACCACCAGAGTAAGGCCAGCAGATCAAAACCAGGATGAAGAGGATGAGGGAGACGATAAAGGAGCAAGTGACAAGTCCGCGAAGGAGTCAGATCACAAACTTTCACCAGGTACAAGTGGGAGCACAGCTATCCTCAAGGGAGCAGGGGGCCATCAAGATCTGCAGCAATCAACACAAGGAAGCTCTTCTTTCGACAGGGAATGGATGCGGTGGTTTGTGCATATTGCTGATCGAACTGACGACGAGATCATGCCCGCGCCATCTGTGTGGTGTGACTTCTGCAGAGAAAGCCATTCCAACACAGGCTGATTGAGGCTGTGCCAGACGCTTTGCAAGGCAATGTTGTCTTCTCTTTGCCTAGATCGTCCTATTACAGTTAAAGATTTCCTCAAACTTCGTCGTGATCCACTTGATGATTACGTTCGTCTGTTGCAAATCTGAGATTTGCGAGGTCTTTTAGTGTTTTTATTCGTTTATGCTGTATATTCCTGGCTCGGCTAAGTAAACCATGCTGAACTTTCGTTCTGATAGATGGTGGAACATACTGCAACTTCTCGCCCTCGAAGAACTTGAAACTAAGTCTCTATCATCTTTCCCACAATGTGGCCGCCGCTCGATAACAGTCCCTGAACAGTCTCAGAAGCGACTGAATGATGCCCCGAATATGTGGGCATGATCGATAAACGGCACTCATGATGGAACTGAGTCAACTTGCGTGTATCGGATCAGTCGTGGAGCTGGTTGCCACGTTGGCGCGAACAGCTCCGGCGGCGGTTGCTCGGAGCCGCCCCGGTACCGGGTCCGAGTCGCCCGGGAGCTCGCCTCGCACAGCCAACCCACCTGAGCTGAGAAGTCTGTCGGTCCTCAGCAAGCTGAGTCGACTTGGAGCAGCTGAGCCGTTCACGGTGCTTCTTCAAGGTCTGGTGCTACCGTATCAACGGTTGCAGCATGTGGGCGCGTGGTCTGTCAGTGGTCTGTGGCGTGCAGTGTGGCGTGGTCCAGGGCGTGGTCCAATGGCTGTGGTTTGCGCGGGTATGAGGGCGAATTTTGTTGGGGCCGATGGCGCATGTGTTCGACGTGCGGATGCGGGAAGAGGAGGCGAAGATGCTGAGAGAGACGGAGGAGAGGAGGAGGAGAAGCGAAGGAGGAAGAGGGAGGGAGGAAGCAGGAGAGAGAGTAGAGGGGGGGAGGAGGGGAGAGAGAGCAGAGCTTGAGGAGAGCGAAGGTCACGATATTGAAGGAGAGGTGGGCGAGTGGAACTCGCAAGAGAAAGGAATGAAGTCGATGACGTTGAGCGATCGTCCGTTGACTAAGATCCCGATCAAACGCGCCGCTCTGTCTCATGACTGCATCCTCTGTCAAGGGAAAGTCGAGCAGGGGGAGGAGATATGGCCCGTCATCAAGCAGGGAGGGGCAAGCTTGAATCCTGGGGGTAGGAAGGTATCAGCACATGCCTGGTGCCATCTACAGTGCGCCAAGGACGCTGTGGGAGGAGGAGAGCTTGTTCCTCCTGTCTGTCCTCACTGGTTGAAGAAGGGATCGTGCGGCTACGGGGAGCTCTGCTTTTACCTGCACCCAGTGGAGGGGTTAGAGGAACTGAGGAAACAGCTTCCGGACAGGAAGAGGATAGGCTCATGGAAGAGGAGCAAACTCAGGAACAGCAGCAAGGTGGGATCGTTCCGTCGCTGGCTCCTAGATCACTTCAGTCTAGACGAGCTTGCAGCAGGGACTGGCATCCTTGACATCGCGGGAGGAAAGGGAGAGCTCGCTTTTGAGCTTGCAAACCTCAACAAGTAAATCCCTCCTGCCTCTCTTCCTTCCTTTCCTGCTCCCTCCATACCTTCTCTCTCCCCCCGCTTCTCCCCCATTGCCTCTTCCCTCACCTCTCCCCCCCCTC